TACGCGGCGCGATGCAACACGTAAAAAGACAGTATAAGTCATTATAATCCGTAATTATGTCCCCACTGGATGCAACAAATGCCTCGTTTATAATGGGTTTTAATGTTTTTGTCTCATCGCTCCGGCTGGACAGGGCATCACAGTATGATAGGGGCGTAACATTTCCGTCACACGCTTGAGGTATTCGGCCAATCACAACGCACTGGATAGCTGGCCAATCAGAGCACACCTCGCTTTTCAGACCGATGAGCTTTGTAAAAATCGACGCATTTCAGAAAGGCGGGGCATAGAGGAGAAACAATAATGTACAGTATGTGGAAAATAATGTGATTTTTTTAACCTTAAACCGCATAAACATTTTCATTACACCAAATACACAAAATAATGTTCTTTTTAGCAGCATCATTTAGCTTAAACAACTTAAAATATGATCTGCATGCACAATAAACTGTGCTAAAATTCAGATTTTTCCATGTTTTAATAAAAATCCAGGGCTTTTTAATAAAACGATTCATAAGCATATCTCCAGTAGCCTATGTTTTGTTTGTTATAAAGAAACTTTAGGTATCAGGCTCGTTCAAGACCTCGGTGATACACAAGCAGTGCAACTCACTCGTCAGAATCCTCAGCAAACTTCGACAGTTGGTTAAACCGGCTCATTCGGTTCTTTTTTGAGTCCTCGGTAATCCTCGGCAAACTTCGACAGTTGGTTAAACCGGCTCATTCGGTTCTTTTTGAGTCGGACGTGCTACTTCAGCTGTGCGTCCTGCGTCAACAACCCGGAACTAAAGTTTGATTCAGGCCCTGTCCCAAATGGAACACTTCATGTGCACTTGCGGTCTTACGGACTTACAATGGCCGCCGTGCGCGTGTGTCCATTAAGTCCACGAGACCGTAGGGTGTCCCATTTGTCATTTTAGCATTCAGAAGGGTGCTCGCGAGCGCCCCCTTTGCGGCCATTATGCGCCCTCTATCCTCACTTCTGCCGAGCCCGCACAGGTGCGAGCTCCGCAGCAGACTTTTAATTTTTTTTTAAATCAGAACTCACAGGATTGTTTTGTCATGTTTATTTGTATAAAAAGTTCTTACGTCGATTTCCTGAACCTGTTCTGCACGTTGTACAGACGTCCAAAAAAAACTCCTAGTCAGACGTTCAAATTTTGAACTGCATTTCTACGTCCAAGGGACGTCGTAGTCAGACGTCCAGATACCACCGGATTTGCACGTCGATTAGACGTACAGATACGGTCCGGGACCGACCGACGCAATATAGACATGATCTGCACGTCGGGCCGACGTCTCATGTTTGTTGGGATGGTGGCGACTTCCAAGGCCCTGTCCCAAATGGAACAGCTCATGTGCACTTGCGGTCTTACAGACTTACAATGGCCGCCGTGTGCGCGTGTCCGTTAAGTCCACGAGACCGTAGGGTGTCCCATTTGTCATTTTAGCATTCAGAAGGGTGCTCGCGAGCGCCCCCTTTGCGGCCGTTATGCGCCCTCGATCAATAGTTCGATCCGCACTTCTGCCGAGCCCGCACCGGGGCGAGCTCCGCAGCACACTTCTACCCGACAGTCAAAGCGGCATTACGTCGTGAAAGTGCAGACTCGGAAGAAGACCGCGAGGGTTTAGGGTGCCATTTGGGACAGGGCCTCAGTTCGATTTGTGAACCGGCTCAACCGGTTACTTCCTGAGAACCAGCTCAAAAGAACGATTCATTCAAGAATCGAACATCACTAGTCTCCTCCTGAAGAGTCAGCTACGGGATCGTGTCACTAGCAGTGCAGAGCTTGTGCAGGAATGGCAGCAGGTTGGTGTGAGAGCATCTGCACGCACAGTGAGGTGAAGACTTTTGGACAACGGCCTGGTGTCAAGAAGAAGCCACTTCTCTCCAAGAAAAACGTCAAGGACAGACTGGAATTCTGCAGGAAGTACAAGGATTGGACAGCAGAAGACTGGTGCAAAGTTATTTTCTCTGATGAAGCTC